CGGGGGCTGCCCCGCTTACTCAGGCTTCTGGGGGGCTCCTCGGTGGTGGTGGTGGAGGACGAGCGTGCCCATGGCCATGGCCAGGTTGGTCCTGCCCACGCCGGTCTGGCAGCCAAAGAGCAGCGCTGGTGGGGGTCTGCCGGGGTCCCGCAGCAGCAGGCTGGGGCTCTCCTAGGAGGGAGGGAGGGACAGAGGGGATGGGGACCACAGGGGCATCCAGGAGAGCCAGGTCTGCCACCGCAATGGCCAGGATGGAGGTGATGGCCCTGCCCAGGCATGGAGGGGTGGGTGGTGGCATCTCCCCTTTGCTCAGGGGACGGTGTGGATGGACCACAACAGGTGGTCCGTCCACTGCACATCCCCCTGCTCCGTGCCCTCTCCAGCCGCTGGGGGGTCCCCACCGGAGATGTTCCCACCACCAGTCCCCAGGTTGCTGAGATTTCATCTCCCAGGCTAAAAGGAAAACAAAACTAAAAAAAGAAAAGCTCTGCCATCGCAACCCTTTGCACCAAATCCAGATCGTTTCTCCCAAACCCGTTTGGGGAAATGCCACCTGCACAGGGATGCTGCGAGGTGGTCAGGGATGGTACAGGGATACTGCGAGGTGGTCAGGGATGGTCCCCTCCAGCCAGGGGTAGGGACAGGCAGCTGGACAACACATACTTCTCCAGCAGGGTCTACAGCAACGGGAACGGGATGCAACTGCAGGCACAGGCATCCTCTTAACAGGCAGCATAAAACCCAAACCAGGAGAAGATGCTCTCAGGGAGTCACGCTCCCCGACCCAGCACGCTTGGCGCAGGCACAGGAGCAAATCCCAACCCGAGGTGGCCCCACGGCCCGGGCGCTTTTCCTCGGCTCACCCTGAGGAAGCGGATGAAAGCATCGAACTGCCCCTCCAAAGGGGCTCCCTCGGCGGGCAGGGGCAGCCGGTGGTACCTGCCGGGCACAGGGACAGCCCTTGTTAGGAGGACGGGGCTTCGTCCCCACCACAGTGGAGGACACGTGGCTTAAGAGGGTATCAAGAACCCAGCTTGCAAAAGGAAAGCCACCAACCTGGCGTGAGGAGGAGGAGGAGGAGGAGGAGGAAGGGCAGCACCTGTAGGAAGGCAGGAGGAAGATGGGTCTGCGGTAGACCTCCTCCGTCACCTGGATGTCCTCCTCGCACTGCACCCGCACGGCGTGGGGCTCGTCCCGTAAGCGCTCGATGTCGTCGTAGACGTAGTAGACGTTCTCGCTCAGCTGCGCGAAGTCGTGGATCTAGCGGAGATGGGGACCCCCATCAAAACCTGTGGCGTGCCCACCACTTCTGACAACCCCTCCCCTCATCTTTGAGCCGGGGGGACGCACGCACCCCGTTACGGCTGGGGTGACGACCCCCTCCCATCCCACCTCACCTCCTTACGGATGGCCAACTCCAGGCTCTCCGCCCGCAGCCCCCGCTGCAGGTTCTCATGCAGGTTCTCCTTGCCCCGGGGGGTGTAGGATACAAAGTCCCCCTCCAACCGGAGGAAGACCACGGGCTCTTTTGCCCCAAAAGCTCTCCTGCCTTTTTCCACCCCAATTTCCACCCTCCCAACCAACCTTGTGGCCCTCTCTCTGCAGCTTCTGCAGCACGAGCTTGAAGCCGTTGAGGCTGGGTTGCCCCATGCCGAACACGGCGTAACCTCCTTTGGCTTGTCGGAAATTGGGAGCACCGCAGCTGCCCGTAGTGTTCAAGACGTCTAATTTGCCGTAAAGCTCTCCTGCCTTTTTCCACCCCAATTTCCACCCTCCCAACCAACCTTGTGGCCCTCTCTCTGCAGCTTCTGCAGCACGAGCTTGAAGCCGTTGAGGCTGGGTTGCCCCATGCCGAACACGGCGTAACCTCCTTTGGCTTGTCGGAAATTGGGAGCACCGCAGCTGCCCGTAGTGTTCAAGACGTCTAATTTGCCGTATACATCCCTGACCATGAAATATTTCCCCTGCAAAACAAGATGGGCAGAGAGAAGACGGGGAATAAGTGGATTTGAGCAAGCAGGCTTGAACGCAGCTGGGAAGAAAAGCGGGGTTTTTTCTTGGTGATCTTCAAAATTAGCCCCCCAAAAAACGCCCAAGGTCCTCAAACCCCGGGTTGAAATGGGATCGGGGCGGGGGCGATGCTCACCTGCACAAGGTAGTGTTCCAGCGTGGCCTCAGAAATGCGTCCCACCGTGTAGTTGGCCTTCAGCAGGTCGTCGTGGATTTGAAATTCCTCCCTGCAGTTGTACCTGAGAAAGCCGCGGGCCGGTGGGTAAAGGAAAAAAAAAATAATAAAATCAATGATATAGGTAAAGATTAAAAAAAAAAAAACAAAACAAGGCAATATTTAGGAGAGAGGGTGCAGAAGAAGCGAGGTCTGGAGATGCAAGAGGCTGCCAAGGACTTACGTGATGACCACGGGTGCCACTTTGTTGGTGATGATGGACTTGGCCTTGCTGTTGTGGAGCCCCAGGGTCTGGAAGGAGTGGATGCTGAGGGAACGCTGGTCCTCCATGCTGCCGTCACCCGGCGGCCCTTTTTTAGGCCCGAGACGTCCTGCGGTGCCGCGCTGGCCGTCGTACCCATAATCCGCGGGCGGCTGCGCCGGGACACAGGGAAAAGCAAGGAGGGAAGGAGAAGGAGGAGGAATTACATTTTATTTTTTTTTCTCCCAGCTGCTCCTGTTTTAGGAAGGGAAAATCCCAGGCAATAGCTTGGCAAGGAGAGGCCTATTTGGGAAGAAATGCTAAGGTAGCTTTTTTCCTCCCGATCCTGCAAAGGGTTTTCTTCCTCCCTGCCTGCCATGAGGCTCCCTCCATCACGGAGGGTCCAGACCCGGAGCAGGGAAAAGTGGGGCTGAGGAAGGGGAGGAGGGGAGGGGGAAGAAAAAAAAAAAAAAAAAGAAAAAAAAAGAAAAAAAAAGAAGGCAAAATGCTGGCTCCAGCTCCTAAAAATCTGCTGAGTCAGCAGATGGCACTGCAGAGGGACAGAGCGGCACAGCTCGTAGTCTCGCCCTCCGCTTTCCCAGTAAACTGCTCTCGGGTCCCTCCCTGCGTGGAAAACACTCAAACAGCGAGTAAATATTATTAAATATTTAGTAACTGAGGATTTCGGAGCTGCCCAGCGTGCCTGGAGCGGCAAGCGAGGCGGAGGGAGGTTGCTCCCCGGTCCAGGCTGTGCACACACGTGCGTGCACACACACGCGTGTCGATGCACATGCAAGCGGAGGAGAAGCCGGGGAGGGAGGTGGGGGGGTGTGAAGCACCCACACGTGATTTTTGCAACCTCGGAAGCTGTGGGCGGCAGCGAGGAGGAAAGGTGCCCCCCCAGGCAGCCCCAAATAACCCTGCGGTGCTGAGAAACCCCCTTGGTTGCACCGGAGGCATCAGGAGCCTGGATGCAGCGGGATGAAGGATTTCTGCCAGCTATTAATGAGTAAACCTGAAAAGCTGCCTTTAAAGCAGCCGGTTATTCCTGTACTGGAGGAGCACCCTCTCCTCCTCCAGGGCAGGTTGGAGACCCCAAAAGCAGAGCCCTCCCAT